GTGGGGGTCAAGGGCTCAGGCCCCAAGTCCCTGGGGCCGCCTCTGAGGGGACCCCACGTCCCAGACGGGCGGCTTCCCCGGGCCCCCCCACCGACCGGGCTGGCTGTGGGTCTGGACATCCCGCCGCCTTGGAAGGGTCGGTGCCAGGCTCCAGACTCACCCCGCGGCTTCGGCCAAGGCCTCAGCTGCCGCCACCAGCGCCGGTAACACCGCTTCAGGCCCCCGGCCCTACCACCCGCCTTCCCCGCTGTCCTCCAAGCCGGGCGGGCGGGAGGGCAGGTTCGCAGCCCTGAGGACCAATCGACAGGCGTAAGGAGGCGATGGACTGAGACACCAACCAGTAGCAACGAAGGAGAAGTGAAGCTCCGGGACCGGCTTCTCCAGGGGGCGGGGACTGTTCAAATAGACAAACCACGCTGCCAGTGGCAGGCGAAAAGAGGCTTAGATCCACTCGGGAGAACCAATCGGTCGTGAGTTAACTTCAGTCACTTCCACGCACACATCCGGTGCATCGCTACTATAATTCCCCTCTGTGTCTGGGGCGTGCGACCGTGCCTAGTCGGCTGTGGGGGACCTGGGATTGGAAGCGTAGGTAGGCGGAGGCTCGCGACCGCGCCAGGAGTAATTGTGAAAGGAAAATGTGAGCCTGGCGGGCGCTCTGAGATAACTCTTTGGACTTTTGGAACCGTGATTTCTGTTTTGTTAAATGTAATATGCATTTGAACAGTTTTTTACTTAGATTTTCCACTTTTCGAAAGTTATCTAGCTCACAAGATCATTCACGAGAAACAGCCAAACTTTAAGTAATGTACTCGTAAAGTAATTCTTTCAAAGCAACATCATTTTTAAAACTTTTTCAAAAAAAAGATAGCAAAAAATTTAATTTAACTACACGTCAATTTTTAAAAAATCAGTCTGTTTATTATAATAAATATTGAAAATTCCTAAATATTTCACAATAGGTGTCTGATTAAATAAAATATAATGCGTTTATATTAAAGAAAACATGTTGCCATTAATAATAGTATTGTAAGTGAATACTTGCTAAGAAGGAAAAAGGTTCATAATTTGTTAAAAAATAGGTTATACCACAATATAAGTGTAATAAAACACTTGAAAAAACATATACTTCTTACGGGTCTGTTACCATGGGGAAAATATACAACTAAAATGTACTGGAATTTGAGAAGGCATGCTTTTTTTTTCTTTGTACAGTACCATCAATTACTTGTGTACTAAAGAGAAGTGTTTGGGTTTTTTTTTGAAGAAATGGAAGTTTCCAGAAGTGTTATACTGCCAAATTTAAAGAGATTTGGTAATATTCTGTGGCTAACAAAATGCTTTGGTGGATTGAACAAGAATTATGCTTACTGCGTTAGGTTTAGCATCTCTTCATTGCATTGATTCTTCTGTGAAGTAATTGTCCCTTTGAATTTCACGTTTTTCACTTGTGTTCATTCTCTCTATATTTAATCATTAAACATTTTTTGATATGTACTATAGTCACTGTTTAAATTTCAAAATAAATAAAATTGTATTTATCACAAAGTCTTGCTCTACCCCGTCCCTTCACTTATTTTCTTAGTTCTTATGTATCCCTAGAATTTCTTTATGGAAATACAAGTTATTTTCCCATTTTGTCACACTACATCACTGTTCTGCACTTTTAAAAAAATGGTATATCTTGGAGATCTTTCTTAATATATAGAAAGCTTCCTTGTTCTTTTGTTGTTATAGCTGCATAGTATTTCATTACATGCATGTTCCATCTCTTACTCTTCCAGTCCTCTGTTGATGGACACTTGTGTTGTTTCCAAATTCTTGCTATTGTTGTACTAATGATTCTACAGTAAATTCCTTTGTACATATATAATTTTATTCCCTGGCAGCTGTACCAAAATAAATAGCCTGAAGTGGGATTGTAGGGTCAGAGAGTAAATGCATGTGTCGTTTGATGGATATTGTCAAACAGTTCTATCAGGAAGGTACCAGTTTTCATTTCTACCAGCAATAGGAGAGTTTTGCCAGCCTAAGACATGATAAGGTTATTTTCTAATTAACAATAAAAAATGGTTTTATAGCAACAGTAACCATTTGTAGTTCTGTTTTACACATTTACAAAGAGCTTTCTTATCCATTGTGTTAATAACATTTATTGAGCACTTACAAAGTATCAGGCATTTGGGAGGACATAATAAATAGAGGTTAAAAGCAGGTTGGAGTCAAACTAACTGGATCTGAAACTAAGCTCCAACATTTACCAACTATATGAGCAAATACTTAATATCTATATACCTATTTCCTTATTTATAGATGTACCTACTATCAACTGATAGTCAGATGGTTATAGGTGCCAATTCAAAGCCAACAGGAATCCCCAATTTGGAATATGGTGAAGACAGAAATTTTACTTCATGAAAACAGTTCAACTATCATACAGAATGAATGTGAAACAGCTCAAATAGTGTTACACCTCTATTATGAAGCATCTTCATTTAGAGTTTTTGCTCCAGTCAGTGAAACACAGTTCTCAGTGGAAAGTTGGCTTCTAGAGCCAGAGGGGAGTTAAGTTACATAGAAAGAAATCCTTGCGCCTGGTTCCTCATCAGTCCACCCTCATGCAGGTGAGGATTCCAAATCATCAGAATGCGACTGGCCCAAAAGGCATTGTCTTGAGTGGTAAGAATGGAGCTGTTCTGATTGGTCAGTAAAGATGTCGATCAGCCTGTTGTTGCCCAGCTCTGGTTGGACAACCTCAGTCCCTGTGATTGAAATAGGATACCAGGAACTCCTTAATAAAGGTTGGCTCAGGTGGCAGGAACGCGCTGCAGGGAGGCAGTTCAGCGGAGGCAGGCACCTTCTCTCTGAAGTGTAGTTTGCACGAGTAGTCCCAGATTAGAAATGGCTGGCTGTTAGGCTCTGTTTTTTCTTTTGTTGTTTTTGTTGTTTTTAGGGACATTAGAGCCAGTTAGCCATCAGGAGCCCTTCTTAGAAGGTATCTTTTTTTTCTCAGAGTCCACACTACCGTGGTAGGCACTGTGGTGGGGGTTAAATGTTAATACATGTAAAGAACCTAAAAGACTACATGACACATATAAACAATAAATGCTGTTACTGTTATTTATGAATGTTTCTACGTGGCAGGTTGTATTGTTCCCACTTTATACTTCATCCATTAGTAAAGTGACATATAGAAGGATTGAGTCATAGAGTTGGTAAGTGAGGAGTTAAAAATATGTGCTTCTTCCTCTTGTCCCATTTGGTAGTATAGGATACTTGGGTTTGGCCAGCGTGCAAATATGTGTTAGATGCTAAAGTCGTCAATTAACAACTATCTAGCTGGTAAGGAAGTATGTCTATACAGAGCTGGCTTCATGGCAGTTGTGACCTATGAGGTTGTAATGCTCTGTCTTGAAATTCTTAATGAGTTTTGAATAAGGGGCCCCATGTATTTATTTTGCACTGGATACCAAAATTATGTAGTCAGTCCTGTGTACATATATGTTATATTTGCATTATAACTTTCACTAATATAAAGGATGTGCAGCATACAACTTACAAATAATAAACTACACAATAATACCTTTTATTGTAAACTTCATATAGCCAATTGATTCTAGCATATGCTTTTTTTTTTTGATACTGTGTAGCCTCCCTATAGTTGCAATTGATAAGAGAGTGTAGTTCCAACATGAATGTTAGTTGATATTTTCTTTTATGTTCATGGATAAGGGAAAGTGAAACAATCAAGAGATACCTTGAAATTTCACTAGTTTGTCAATGATATGAAGGCTTCTTCTTTGCTGAATTGAATAATAATTTTCCAATACTGGAAGAGTATTTCCCCAAATTTTTCTGGTATTCACAATGTACTGGCTGCAGTTACACACTTTTAAACTTCATGATAAACTTTTTTCAGTTATTTTCTTACGTTTAGATGACCAGCCAATTATCAAGCCTTTGCTGACTTACGTGGCATAAATACTCCCACGATGGCAGATTCCAAGTGACCAACGGATGTCACTCAATGAAAAGCTAGAAAGAGATGAGCAGCAGCACATTGTTGTATAGTATTTCCACAATGCAGTTACAACAAATGAAAACAACCTAAAGAGCATAAATGATAAAATGTAGTAATTAGGAAGCAATGAGCTTTGAGTAGTTGTTACTTTTGTTTTTAATATAATTTATCTAATTGTAAGTTTGTGTAGTTTAATTTTGAATAATGGCTGTGCTTAATGACTGGCTCACAAAATTCTTAAAAATTTACCTGGCTCTCTCTGGTCAGAAGAAGCTACCAAAGCTCCCAGAAGGTGGGCAATGAAGGCAGGCAATGAAGACACAGAGCTGGCCACCTGGTAGGGTGGGAAGGGCGATTATTTGTATAATGAGTAAGTAAGAAAACTCACATATGGATTAAAGGGCAGGCAGGACAGTTCATGGCATTGGTAAGTGCACAGTAGAAAGCGGGAATTTTTGCTGTTGTAATTATTAGAATTAATATTTCTTAGATATCCTTCCCGATTTCAGAGCTTCGAGTTTCCCATTTAAAACTAGGGGCTGGGATAGGTATACCTTCCTTATCTCCCTCAACGTGCTTCCTGATTTTTGTCTGTATTGTTAACTGCTGCGTACCAGTGCTCAACAAATGAGGTTGCATACTGCATGAAAAAATTGAATGCGTCCTATTTCAGTGAATGAAACTCTTGATAAGTCGGAAAGCCACACGTATTAGTGGTGGATCCTGTGACACTGAGCGAGGCTGTATCCACCGAGTCTGGGAGCAGCTGCCAGGCGAAGACCCCCGGCAGAGGGAAAGCTGAACCTCCGGGTCCTCGTCCTGCCCCGCCCCCAGCTCCGGCCACGCCCCCAACCCCGGCCCCGCCTCCGCCCCAGTCGGCTCGGCCCACACGGTCAGCCCTTGTTTCCCGGCCGGCCTCCAGAGGCGGGCGCACAAAATGGCTGCCCCGGTACTCCTGGGGAGGCTGCAGCCTCTCGGCCTTAGGCTCTAGTTCCGGGCTGGGGTCCGGAGAGAGGCTTCGCCCGGGTCACAGAAAGCTGGAACGTTGCTACTGGGCCTCGTGGGGTGCCAGGCCCGCTCGGTACTGCCCCGGGGCCCGCTGCCTCCCCAGCCCTGCCCCGGGGCGGAACTGAGCGAAGGTCAGGACCTGCCGCCCCGCCCCGTCCTTCCTTCTCCCACTGGCAGTCGCTCTTCTGTGAGTGGCTCACTATTAACTTTGACTTCCGCCACGAACATCTCCATGGCGGCCTCGCAAGTCCTGGGGGAGAAGATTAGCATCCAGGCTGGAGAGACCGCCAAGGCCGGGGACGGAGACCTGCGGGAGAACGACTGTCAGGAATGGGACAGGCCCCTCCCGCGCTCCTGGAGGCAGAAGTGTGCGTCCTATGTGCTGGCCCTGCGGCCCTGGAGCTTCAGTGCCTCACTCACCCCCGTGGCCCTGGGCAGTGCCCTGGCCTATAGATCTCAGGGCGTTCTGGATCCCGGGCTGTTGGTGGGTTGTGCAGTGGCAGTTCTGGCTGTGCACGGGGCTGGCAATTTGGTCAACACTTACTATGACTTTTCCAAGGGCATTGACCACAAAAAGAGTGATGACAGGACCCTCGTGGACCGGATCTTGGAACCCCAGGATGTTGTCCGGTTTGGAGTCTTCCTCTACACTTTGGGCTGTGTCTGTGCCGCTTGCCTCTACTACCTGTCCCCTCTGAAACTGGAGCACTTGGCTCTCATCTACTTTGGAGGCTTGTCTGGCTCCTTTCTCTACACAGGAGGTAAGAATTGGCCCAATACCTGTGCTGGAAGTCTTGGTTGCATGTGCTAGAAACTACTGCTATGTGCAGAAGTAAGGATTAGAACTAGAGGAGCGCCAAAGGTCTTTTCTCAGGCCGCTATGTGAAATCTATAGTGTGCGGATCATGTGGATTATTTTGGAAGATTGTCTTTATTTATTTTTAGAGAAAGGGGAAGGGAGGGAGAAAGAGGGAGAGAAACATCGACCAGTTGCCTCTCAAATGCACCCAACTGGGAACTGAACCTGTAACCCGGGTATGTGATGTGCCCTGACCAGGATTCAAACCGGCGACCTTTCCCTTTGTGGGGCCATTCTCCAACCAACTGAGCCACATTGGTTAGGGCAATGTGGGTTATTTTGAAAACAGTAGTAGATTGAGAAGATCCTGGCTTGGCTTATGGATGCTAGAGATATATATATATATATATATATATATATATATCTCCATATATACATGTATATGGATGTGTGTGTGTGTATGTGTATATATACATAAACATACTATATATATTCATGTACAGATATAGTGTCAACACTTACTATGACTTTCCAAGGGCATTGACCACAAAAAGAGTGATGACAGGACCCATACACTGCACAAATCTTTTTTCTCATTTGTTGCATTTTTACCTTTCTTGAGTCACAGAAATGACTAATAATGTCATTTCCATGTATATGGAAATTTTTGTATCTAGTTTCTTTTTGTTGGTCATATCTTTTAATGCCAGTTTCAAATTTTAGTGGAAGTAACTTGGAAGAGCTCAGAATTGTACTTTCAGCTAGTTTGATGGGTGACTCACTGTAGCAGGCTGAATAAGGTAGTGGTGGCCTGGTGGCTAAGCCTAGTTTTTGAGTGCCCATAACATGCCAGCACATACTGTGCCTGCACTGTTGGTTCTCTGCGCACGGAAGTCACAGATCCTTGCTCTTGTGAAAGTTATTTTATGCATGGTGAAAAGAAACAAAATAAAAAATAGTATATAATAGTTAGGTTGATCAATGTCCTGGTTTGCCCAGGGCTGAGACGGTTCCCAGGATGTGGGACTTTGGATGCTGAAACCATTCAAGATCCTGATAAGTTAGCATGAATTGGTAATCTAATTACAATATATGGAAAGACAGTTAGTGCTATAGTAAGGACAACAAGGAAGGCGGACACAGCAGACTATTTTAAGTAGTTTCATCGGGGAGGCCTCATCAAAATGGTAACGTGAGCAAACACTGAAGGAGCTGAGAGAGTTGGCTAAGCAGATATTGGGTTGGCCCAAAAGTCTGTATGGATTTTTCCATAAAATAAGAGACCCATTTTTCATTTTTACCAATAACTTTATTGTTTTGGATATTTTGAGTATGTCAGCTCTCTTCTATGTGGTAGGACATTGATTATTCTCAATTAATGTCTCAATTTGATCACTATCAACTTCAACCAGTCCACCCGACCGTGAAGCATTGTCCAGAGAGAAATCTCTAGCACGAAACATCGCAAACCACTTCTGACACATTTGATCAATCACAGCACCTTCTCCATACACTGCACCCATCTTTTTTTTTGTGTTTCAGTTGCATTTTTACCTTTCTTGAAATAATAAAACATAATATGCCGAAAATGTATATTGCCTTCCATCTTCAATATTACATGGCTATACAAAAATTCACCAATTTTGATGTTTTTTTAAAAATGCACGCTGATATGACAGCTGTCACAATACAATCTAACAAAATTGTTTCCAATGAAGTTAAAGAGAACTAAGCACTGCTAGACCCATCTCATGGAAGAAACCAAATGAACTTTTTGGCCAACCCATACCTGGAGGAAGAGTGTCCTGGATCTTGGAATGACAGTTGCCAAACGCCTTAAGGCAGGTGTCCCAGAAGAGTGTGAGGAACTGCACGGAATCCAGGGTATGAATGAAGGAGAGAGTGAAAGCCGGTTAAGTAAGAGAAGTCTGTTTGGGGAGGTCAGGGAGGCACAAAGATTACATAAACCTTAATGTTTTAAAAGAATCACTGGCTTAGGTACTGAGAATGGATTCTAGGGAGTGGTCAGGGATAGAAGCAGGGAGATGGAGAAGGGGCTGTTGAGGAATCCAGGCAAGAGGTGTTTGGTGGCTGGGATCAGGGTGATAGTAGTGGAGAAGGAAGATGTACTCAGATTTCCAGTATATTCTAAGGTAGCCCGGGTTTGCTGATAGACAGGATGTCAGGCAGGAGGGAAACTGAAGAACTGAGCCTAACTCAGAGGCTTTGGCCCAAGCAACTTGAATAATGGAGTTGATGTCAAGTGACATAGAGAAGGTTGAAGACAGGTTTTTTGGAAGACAATCGACTTTGAGCATCTTAATGTATTAGATCTCTAAGTGGAGATAACCAAATGGGTAGTGGGATATAAGAGTCTGAGTTCAGGGGAGAGGTCTGAGCGAGAGATACAGATATTTGGGAATTGTTGGCACGTAGATGAAGTTGCATGACTGGGTGAGACCGCCAGAGGAGGAAGTGTCGATAGAGGTGTGAGGGGGACCGGGACAGCCCTGGGGAACTTGCACATTAAGAGAAGAGAAGGAACAAGGGAAAGGCAGCTGCGATGGAGCATCTGGAGAAGAAAGAATACCGAGAGACTAATGTCCTGACAGCCAGTAGTAAAAGGTTCAGTAAAGGAAATCAATGTGACAGAATGTCTAAGGTGGTGGTGGGGGAAGAGGCCCTCTCTGTAAAGGTGACACTTAAACTAAGACTTGAAGGATAAGGAGCCAGCCATGGGGCAGAACTAGGGTCTGATTCAAGTGCTGAATCCTTCAAGGCTGAAGGAACAGGAAATGCAAACGCAGTAGAGTTGGGGAGAGTTTGGCATCTTCTAGGATATTCCAGAAGGCCAGTGTGTTCGAGAGGGAGAATGGAGATGCAGTTGGAGAGGGAGGCGGGGGCTAAATGGTGCTTGTCTCCTAGGGCCTCAGTCTCCTTTGCTGGTTCCTCCTCATTCCCAACCTGCAGGCTACTCCTGGCACTGCTTTCCTCTGTCTCCATTCCCTCCTTTCGTGGTTTTAGCCAGTCCCGTGGCTTCAGATGCTCTCTGTCAAGCTGGTGTCTCACAGATTTCTACCTCTGGCCCAGATCTCTCTGCTGAACTTCAGACTTATATTCAGCTTCTTACTCAGTAACTTCTCTTAGAGGTCTCCAGACATCTTCAGCTAAATATATCCGAAATCAAATTCCTGATCTTTTCCCCAAAGAAACCTGCTCTCCCACAGCTTTCCCCCTCTTCCTCAATGGCAACATCATCCTTGTCGTTCTTCAGGCTGAAAGTCATGGGTGTCATCCTGACTCTTCTATCTCATATCTTGCGTGCAGTCAGTCCATCAGCAAATTCTGTTGACTCTGGTTTTCAAATGCATTTGGGACATGACCATTGCTCACCACGTTCCACCACTGCCACTCTTCTCTCCCTTGAGTATTAATGGCAGGTTCTGTAGTAATCCTGGATGTGGGTCCTTGCCTTTCTTGACTTTGAAAAGTTCTTGCCAGCCCCTTCTTGCCTGCAAGGTTTCTTTTGAGAAATCAGCTGACAGTCTTATGGGAACTCCTTTGTAGGTAACTGTCTCCTTTTCTCTTGCTGCTTTTAAGGTTCTGTCCTTATCTTTAATCTTGGGTAACTTAATTATGATGTGCCTTGGTGTGTGCTTCCTTGGGTCCAACTTCTTTGGGATTCTCTGAGCTTCCTGGATCTCCTGGAAGTCTGTTTCCTTGGCCAGATTGGGGAAGTTCTCCTTCATTATCTTTTCAAATAAGTTTTCAATTTCTTGCTCTTATTCTCCTTCTGGCACCCCTATGATTTGGATGTTGGATTGTTTAATTATCCCAGAGGTTCCTAAGCTTCTCATTTTTTTTGAATTCTTGTTTCTTCATTCTGTTCTAATTGAATGTTTGGCTCTTCCTTCTGCTCCAAATCATTGATATGAGTCCCGGTTTCCTTCCCTTTACTGTTGGTTCCCTGCATATTTTCCTTTATTTCACTTTGCATAGTCTTCGCTTTTTTCTCCATTTTGTGACCACACTCAACCAATTCAGTGAGCATCCAGATTACCAGTGTTTTGAACTGTGCATCTGATAGATTGGCTCTCTGTTCATTGCTTAGTTCTATTTTTGGAGCTTTGATCTGTTCTTTCATTTGGGCCGTATTTCTTTGTCTTGGCGTGCCTTGGAAATCGTTGGAAGGGGTAGAGCCTTAGGTATTCACCAGGGCATACCGACCCAGGTCATTGAGTTGTAATACTCTCCGTGGTGGAGGCATCCAAAAGGGAACAATGCCACTTCCTTGGCTCTCAGCCAGCTTTCAGTCACTTCCTCTGCTACCCACAAGCAAATTGGGCCCTTCTGGTGCCGATTCCTGAGTGGGTGGGTTTGTATACATTCTAGGACCCTGTGAGTCTCTCCAACGGACTCCCCTGTGGGGCTGGGAGTTTCTCCTGCCACCACAACCCCCACAGGTTTTTGCCTCTAGAGGTTTTGAGGCTTTCTTTTCTCATATTGGAACCCTGGATTGCGCATCTGTCTCGCTCCCGAACTCTTCCTCTGGTTTATGCATGTGCAAGTGCGGGACCACCCTGTCTGCCCGTGCTGCCTGGCCGCGCGTCCTCTCCAGCCCGGCTGCCCGTTTCCACCCCTCCTTCTGGTCTGCATGAATGTTTCTTTTTTAGCTCTTTGGTTGTCAGATTTCCATACAGTTCGATTTTCTAGCAGTTCTGTTTTTGTTTTTGTTTTTGTAAATTTGTTGTTCTTCTTTTGGTTGTGCAAGGAGGTGAAGTGTCTCTACCTACACCTCCATCTTGGCCAGAAGTCCACTTAACCTTTTTTTCAATCATGTTTTTGTTAGTGTTTGTGTATTTAATGTGTGGCCCAAGACAACTCTTCTTCCATTGTGGCCCAGAGACGCCAAAAGGTTGGACGCCCCTGCAGGAGGTTGCCAGACCTTCCTCATCCCTGGAATGGGTCTGTGGGTGGTTTCTGTGGGGTGTGTTGAAGGTGGAGCCTATCCATGTGGGCATGTGTTTCTCTTCAATTTGCTTACATCATGTTTTTGCCAAGTGATCTCAGGAGGTGTTCTGGGTCATCTAGCCAGAGGTCAAGGCTTTAGAGCTTTGTGTTTCCATCCATGGCCAGAGCCCTTAAAGCTTCTTGGAGAGCTGAGAACATAAGTTAAAGAAAAGTAGGCCACGGTGGAGAAACTTGCTGGATCTGTACCGGGAGTGTTCCTTCTTGGCATCTCGCTGGCGCGGGGGTACAGCAGTCCCTGCCTTACCTGCAGTTTCACTTCCTGTAGTTTCAGTTTCCTGAAATCGTGTGCTATTTGCTTTGTCCTGCTCTAGACACGAATCATCCCTTTGTCCAGCATATCCACGCCGTATACGCTGCCTAACCATGGGCCAGTTAGTAGCCGTCTTGCCTGTCACGTTGCCTGTTCAAATATCTCAGTACTTGTGTTCAAGCAAACTTTCTTTTACTTAATAATGGCCCCAAATTACAAGAGTAGTGATGCTGGCAGTTCGGATACGCCAAAGAGAAGCCGTGAAGTGTTTCCTTTAAGAGAAAAGGTGGTATGTATGGTATGTATATGAAAACACATAATATGTATGGGCTTTGGGAACATCTATGGTTTCAGGCATCTGCTGGGGGTCTCGGATGAGGATAAAGGGGGGCTACTGTAGTCTCCTAAGTATGTGAGATACTGCAAGAGACATCAATTTGCTAATTTAGAACTGGAGGTGATGTTCTGATGAGTGAGCTACCTCCTGGAGAGCATGTCCTCAGACAACCAGGTGGTTTATCCAAACACTGCCTGGGCCTTACAGCATTAGCTTGCGCTGTGTTGGTGGGCACAAGGGCTCATGCCTGTGTTGTACTTCCCTGGGGATGCGTCATTCTAAAGAACCAGGGGTGGTCTTTTAGTACCAGAGACCCCGACAGATGGAGGTGTTAGCCTTTGTTACGGTGGGAATCACTGTACAATGTATGAGTGTATCCAGTCCACACTTTGTATACCTTAAACTTATACAATGTTATATGTTAATTATTTGCAATAAAGATGGGGGGGGGAACCCAAAAATCAGAAGCCCCACTACTAAGGTGAAGGTAAACCTAGGCTGAATCTTGTTCCTCAGCTGCCAGGGCTTTAGCTCCTTTTCAGACCAGCGTCCCTTCTCATTTGAGGTTCTTGACATGCTGCTCACTAGCAGTTTTCTTGTCGCTGAGGCCATGGCTTGGTAGCTTGGCTGCATGTGGAGGTTTCCCAGGCTCCAGGGGCAGTATATATGTGTGGATCAACTCTCACCCATTTTTTACTTTGAGTGGAATGCTTTTTTCTGACCTTGGTCGCAAATTGCAGGTGCTTGTTACTGTAGCTCTGTGTTCAGTTCGGACTTTGTGCCAAGTTGAGGGGTGAGCTCTGAACAAGCCAAACCAGCTGTGAGCAAGCCACACCCGAGGCCCTGCCCCCGTGAAACACTGAAACGGTGTTTGTTCGAGAGACAGAGATTAAAGAATGATGAGTGTGATGGAATTTATGAGCGTAGCGGTCAGGGCACCCTGAGACCTGTGGCAAGGGGAGTGAATGTGCTGTAGGGACGAGGGAAGGTCACCTGTGCAGCGACCTCTGCAGTCTTAAAGATGAGTCCGAGTTAGCCAGGCAGAGGGGGGAAGATGGTTCTCAGGGCAGGTGGACCTGAAAGAAGTCTGCCGGGAGAGGGAGGGGAGCTGGGGGGCGGGGTGGGGGAGGCGGGAGAGGGCCAGGACCCGCCGGAGGTGAGAGGTCTGGCTTTATTCTGAGGGCGACTATCAGATAAGGGTTTTCAGGTATGCGCTGGGCGAGCGGGCATGGTCAGATGAGTGTTTTTAAAGCATCGCTCTGGCTGCAGTGCGGAGATTAGGGTAGGGAAGGGGTAGGGCAGTTGTGATAAGAACAGAAGCTGAGAGAGCAATTTGGGGGGGTTGCCATATTCCAGACAGACAATGACCCTGCCTTGGATTTGGGGTTGGAGAGAGCTGGGCAGGTTTTGAAGAAGTGGGTTAGACAGGATTCGAAGTCGGCTAGCAGCACAGGCGGAGGAGGAAGAGTTAGAGGTGACTTAGTTTTAACTCAGCGGGAGCCAGAGAGGGGAAGCAGCATTGTACCTTCATCGTCTTAGCCATGTTCCTCATTCTGTGGCTGAGGGTTTCTTTATGCGGAGGTTGGCAACCCTGGAATTTCGCCAACATTCACTGCAGGTTTTCAAAGCCAGAAGGTGCCTGCAGACGTTGGAGAGGAAGGAGGCAGAAAAGTTAGAGACGGGCCTGGATGTTCTGTGAGGGCCGACCTGCCAGCGCTACAGACGGAAGGGAATGGTGAAAGGTGAAAGAAACCAAAACACTGGATGGCAAGACCTTTCAGGTCCTTCTTGGGCTCTCCCGTTGAACTGTGTGTGGCGGAGCCCGCTGCTCTTTGTGACAGGATTTGCCGGGGGGCAGTAGAAAGGGAAAGTTGGGTATGACTCTGAACCCTCGCTGCGTGCTGAGAGTAGGGTGCCTGGTGCTTCCGTACAGGGCCCTGCAGGGGACGGGACCCCTGCCACGGCCCCTGCCCCTCGTCTGAGCCTGAGGAGCAGTCCCTCGATTCCCCACCCTTGATCTCACCCCGTCTCTTTGGGTTTTCTGGCCGTAGGAGTCGGATTCAAGTACGTGGCTCTGGGAGACCTGGTCATCCTCATCACTTTTGGCCCGCTGGCCGTGATGTTCGCCTACGCCGTGCAGGTGGGGTCCCTGGCGGTCTTCCCGCTGGTCTACGCCATCCCCCTCGCCCTCAGCACCGAGGCCATCCTCCACTCCAACAACACCAGGGACATGGACTCTGACCGGGAGGCGGGCATCGTCACCCTCGCCATCCTCATCGGCCCCACCTTCTCCTACATGCTCTACAACACGCTGCTCTTCCTGCCCTACCTGATCTTCAGCGTCCTGGCCATGCACTGCAGCATCAGCCTGGCGCTGCCCCTGCTCACCGTCCCCATGGCCTTCTCCCTTGAGAGGCAGTTCCGCAGCCAGACTTTCAACAAGCTGCCTCAGAGGACCGCCAAACTCAACCTCCTGCTGGGGCTCTTCTACGTCTGCGGCATCATTCTGGCACCAGCGGGCAGCCTGCCCAGGCTCTAAGGGGACCAGCAGCCCCTCCATCAATGCGTCCCCCTGAGAATGTGTTGAAGGCAGAGCCTCTCAGGAGAGAAGGTGATTTGAGAGCGAGGGACCTAAGGGTGGCTTCTGAGCTGCCACATTTTTAAAATTATTAAGTTCTTAACGATAGTGTTCTGTTTTTGTTTTGTTCTGTTTTATGGGGAATCTTGAAACCGCTCTAGTATCCGCGGGTGAACGGCCCTTGTTTTACTTATACTTTCCACTAGAGGGTGCTGTGAGGTCACTTTAAAGTGGACTAAAGAGCCCCGAGACTGTGAAGGAGCCACCTGGGTTGGCCTCCAGTCCTGAGAGGGCCACAGTGACTGGGCCAAGTGTCCTCCTGTTATCTTGGTCTTGAAGGATATGGTAATAACTGGTATCAGACCCAGTGACACCAAGAGCACCTGTCTCTTACTCTGAGCACTTGTGTCCTGAAATTCACTGCCTGAGAGAGTCCCTCATTAACAGCCTAACGTGGCTCCCGGCTATTTGCCTAAATTGTGATTCAGGGGTGTTTGTCCTCAGGCTCTCCTTTCGCTTCTTGCCACAGTGGAGGAAAAATGTCAGATCACCCTGCAGCAAAACAGTCAAGGGGGGCCTGGGAAGGGAAAAAAAAACCCACCCCCGGGGCAGCTGAGAAAATCACTGTTTCTGGATGTAATTGGTTGGGCTGCGTTTTCCCTTTGTAGAACCCATGGGAATCACAGGGGGACTCCCTGCCCTGTCAGTGCCTGCCGGGGGCCCTGGAACGGTGGAGACCTGCCCTCTCCGCCAGCTGCTTACAGCCCACGGGGCTTCTCCGCCCCCACCCCCATCGCCTTTCCTAATGCCCCCCATGCCCATCTGTGTGTCTCGCATCGTTGGAGCCTGACTCTCCGACAGCAGCTCAGCAGCTGAGTCAGGGGCAGTTGACCCTTTGCACCGAGCCCCAGGACAAGCAGACCCGGGCCCACCAGCTCCTCCATGGAGGAACAAGGCAGTAGATAAACAGTCCCAGCCCTGTTCAGACAAACAGTAGGCCCTGCCGGGGAAGGAACGGTGTCTTCTGCCTTAAAGGCAGCCGGGCAGCACCGACCCTGCCTCTCCCAGAGGCCTCGGGCGCCCTGCACCAAGGCGGTGTGCACGCAGAATGGGGAATTCCAGTGCCAATCAGAGCTGCTTTCCATTTCATTGCCTGCGAGGTATAATTTCCAGGCTGCGTGTGTTCTAGGACTGAAACAGATTGAGGCCATCATTGTATTTTTCTGTTGCAATGATAGCCATTCTGATAGCTATTTCAGGGGCTTGACCTGCGGAAAATGACATCGAATTCATTCTTCATCCTTAAAATCAGGCTAATTATATGATTTGGCTCCTTGAGTTGGAATGAGTCGGCTTACTTGGAAAAAACATATCTGGAAATTGCAAAAGTCCCTCTAGGTTGAAGGTGGTCTGTCTGCAGAGAGCCGGAACCCTCAAGTAGAGGTCGGAGCCCAGTCACAAGGGACACGGCCCTTCCCTCCTGCCTTTCTTCCCAGCACCGTTTTTGTTGTGCGCCAGGCTTGTGGCAGGCAGGACGGTGCTCGCAGGTCCTGCCGGCAGAGACCAGCTCTTCGGGCCCCTCCCCGGAGCAGGCTGTCCTCACACAGGGCTCCCCCCACCGAGGCGATAGGACCAAGAGCTTCTGCGTCCACGGACCGGACCCGCCTCTGTAAGTGCCCTTGTCGGGTGTCAGCCTCCGCATCGTGTCCTGGTGCAGATTTTAATGCATATTCTTGTATATAAATGTTTCTAAGAGGCCAAACGTGGTGCTGGGTTTTATACGCAGGTTGCCCTAATTTGTGTCATATCCCAATTCAATGATGGTTTTCTTTAGACTTGTTAATAAAAAAAAATATTTATCAGTTTCCAGTTTTTCTTTGCTTTCCTCCCACTTCTTGTTTTATTGTGTGCTTGTGAACTCTGATTCATAAATCTCAGGAGACCAGCACAGGGCCTTGGGGACATTTGGTCGGGTTGGAGGTGGGGCACACGCTCTTTAGTGATGAATTTGGGTAGGATTGGACCCGATTTTTTGAGCCCTTAGAAGAGACAGTAGGGACCACTCAGAGCCAGTATGGATTTGCCAAAAGCCAGTCAGGCCAAATTAACCTTGTTCTCTTGTTCTTTCCTGCCTTCGTGTTTCTTTTTTCCCTTGATGGGGTCACTGTGCTGATAGATGGAGAACGTGTAGCCGACAGAGCGCATTTGGCTTTCAGCTAGGCGTTTGGCAATATATCCTCATGAACAAAGCAGAGGTGCGTGGAATGGATAACAGTCTAGTTCAGCGATTGTCAACCTTTTTCATCTCGTGGCACACATAAACTAATCACTAAAAGTCTGCGGCACACCAAAAATACGTTTTTGGCCAATCCGACAAAAAAATAAAACATACGACTTTGATTCATTCACATGGATGGCTATTGTTGTGTTGACTGTTGTCATTTTTCATTTGACGGTCTGAAGGAAAAGAGGTCAGTGCCCCTGACTAAATAGTCAGGTACTGCCTGTTTCAAAAATGCTTGGAGCACACCAGGAAAAATCGCTGGTCTAGTTAGATGAATTTCTGGGAGACTGAACAAACGGGGGCAGAGAGCCCACTGATCGGCATGTCCACGTCGACGGGCAAGGGAGCCTCGAGTGGCGAGTGTGCGCCTGCCCTCGCCCGGCCGGGCTCAACACCTGTGACAACTGATTGGAATTAGGCGGCCCTAATGGCAGGTTTTGTAAATCTTGGAGGAAGAGCTTATAAAATAACGAGTCAGAGGCCGCTTGGATGTGTCAAAGGAAAAATTTAGCATGAATAAATGTGAAGCCATATACTCGGGTCCCTGAAATCAGCCGCCTGACCTCCAAAGGGGGAGACCCCTGGAGCGATGACAGTTGCTGTGGAGGTTTGGATTTCATTAATGACTCCGGACACAACGCCACATGCCTTTAGTTCTGGGAGTCAGATTCACCCTGCTCCCCAGTGAGGCGGCTGCCAAAGGAAGCCCAGCCCCCTCGGGCCAGCCCCCTCCCTGTAGGGTCACCCAGGACTCCTGGGCCTCCGCGGGGCCCAGGGACACAGACTGGGCCCTCGTTCTGTGTGCTCGCTCTCTCTAGGGTCACCTCTCTGCTGCTTCAGGCTGAGGTTCAGCCCTGGAATCTTCCTTGTCTCTTGAATGATCGGCTCTGGAAGGGTTCAGGGCGCCCTGATAGCAGCCGTCCCTGCTGACGAGTACCGTGGGCCTGCAGGGCACCAGCCCCTGCCACCTCGTCCCCATTTGTGCCCAGCCTCAGGAAGCACCCATTCTCTCCGCGACCCGCCCGCCCACCTCCCCCACTCCAAGCGTTTCCCTCCTCCCCCACCCCTGGCAGGACCTTTGCATAAAATCTCACCCCCGGGCTGCTTTGGAAGCCAAATGCTGGCCTCCGAGTGGCATGAGGAAGAAGGTGCACATACATAATTTATTATCTTACTAACCCTTCTGTTACTGCCAAATTAAAACCAGCAAAACTCTGAGCCTGTGACTGAGCCCGAAGCTCAGTTTGCATCAATGAGCTCTGACTTGCAGGAAGGGCAATGTGATCTGAGAGGGAACAAATAGATTAGCGTCCAGACAGTGAAGGTACAAGTCCTGCTGTCCCTGTGTTCTCAGGCCATAGGTGGGGAGCTGGGTCTGTCCCCAGGCACCTACCTTCCCTTCTTTCTTTATTTTTTTCTTGATAGAGCAAGTATGATTGTTGATCAAGAGTACGCTATGCATACAATACACTTGGATTTCAGCAAGGTGTCTGACAATTTGATGTGGAATGAGGAACTTTGTTTCTACGTGAACACGTGTTTTCACACTGGAAGCAGCTGCAGCAGAGATTTTACGTCTCTCAGTATGGGAACCACGTTTTGAAGATGTTGTTAACAAACTGGATCTTGTCCAGAAAGCACCAGGCAGACTGGTGAGGGCACTTAAAACCATGTCAGCGTGGAAAGGAGACTCAGCAGAGGGCTGTCTTGGGGACAAGAGATCAGGCTGTGTGTGTGTGTGTGTGTGTGTGTGTGTGTGAGAGAGAGAGAGAGAGAGAGAGAGAGAGATTTCAAAGGCAAAACTAGACCAATGGGTGGAAGTTAGATGGCCCCGAGTTTAAGCTCTTAGGAAGAACTTTCTAGCCACTAGAGGAATTGCAAGTGAAGTGTTTGACACGTCCCAGTGGGTGGTGAGTTCCCTGTGACTAGAGGCATTCAAGCGGAAGGATGATTCCTTGTCAGGAACACTGGAGCAGAGCGTTGGACAGCAGAGAAGGAGGGTGGGAGAAGACCTTTGGGGCCTTCTGATGCTGCGATATGGTTGTTCTGTTGTCAAGGGACTTCTCCAAGCTGTCCCCAGGGGCCGGGAAGACAGAGTACAGGGAGCACGTTGACATTTCCTCTTCATGACGTTAGGCTGTTGTCTGCTCACTCGCCCATTTTAACAGGCATGGCTGTGACTGATAGTCCTTTTTCTAAGATCATACGCACACAGGCGCGCCCGCGTGTGTGCACACAGTCGGCTTCACCGTCCAGAGCCTTTGAAGTGAGGTGGATGACAGCCCCTTCCCCCGAGCCCCGTGGGCTGCTCCGCTGCTAATGGACTGTCAGCTTCTTTCATTATGGGCTCCAGACTGTGCAGGCTGGTGTCAAAGTAGTGCCTCCGGCGAGAACCTGAAGCTTGGGTCTCAGCCAGATGACATTTGTGATTTGCCCTTCTTCAAACTGGGACAGACGTCTCACTGTGAGTGGCTAAGCCAGGATGCCAAATACTGGTGTAAAGCAAGTCGGGTTCCCTGCCTGAAGAGGCGACAAGGGCTGGGCGGGGCTCTTCAGGAAGGCCCGTGGACAGTGTCCCCGGGGGTCGGTGTGGGGGAGACTGTAGTTGGAGGCACAGAGCCCCTCAGTGCCCCTACCCCGCCTCACGAACGCAGGAGCCCTGGGAGGGCCCAGAGGGGGACAGGGAGGGTCTGGGTCATAGGCTTTCACCCAGGTTCCGGGGTGAAGGGATATTGGTCTGGGCCCTAGTATGATGCCAACTTGTCCAAAGAGGCGGCCCCCCGTGGGGTGTGGCTCTCAGGGCACCCTGGGCCTGAGACCTGGCAGGGCAGGGGAGCAGCTGGAGGGAGAAGAGGGCCCAGTCGGGGGCTGCCCTCTGCCTTGGCACTGGTTTGCTGCCCTCTGGTCTTCAAGGGGAGGCCCCCTCAGGCCCTCAGCCCTCCGCCCTCCGGCTCCCCAGGAGGCCGGCTCTGCAGGGGTCAGGAAGAGCCTGCTCATGCAACCTGCTGGCCGGCTGCACGGGCTGAGGTTCCCGGTCAGAGTCTGCTCATTCCTGAACAACGGACAGTGACCCCTTGCTCACCCGCGGAGATGAATGGCCCAGGAAGTTCTATTCTCTGGTTAAAGTTCTCCTCGGGTTCACCATTATTTTCTGTCTCTTGTGGTCCTCCCTCCCCAGGCCACTGAATCAGAGTGCCCACATCGGGAGTGTGGGTGGCTCTGCTCCCTGAGAGCTCTCTGCCCCCCTGGCGAGCCTGGAAGAGGCCCTCTGCACGTTCGGGGGAGCAGCACCAGGGGCTGATAGTGATGTGTGTTTGAAACACAGAAACCTCAGTCTTTGGGTTCAGTGAGAGGAGGCTGGCACATGTCGACTCTAGGACAAACGATAACAAATACAGCGCATGGAGGTTAGAGGTGGGTTGCCGGATGGAGCTAATCAGGAAGGCTTCCAGGAAGAGGTGATGATGAGCAGTGGTCAGGCTTCTGGGAAGAGATGGCCACGAGGGTGCTTGATTTTTTCCCGAAGCTGAGGTACTGGTAGACAACTGTCCCCAATTCCCCCAGCCTGAGAACGTGGAAGTTTTTCTTAATCCACCTCTCTGGCTGCATAGCCTGACAGCGAACCGCAGCATCGAGGCAGGTGCGCGAAGGGCCATCCAACCACTAGCAAGGTCGAAGCCTGAAGAATGAGAAACCCTGACACCTCCTTGCCGAGAAGCACACAGGAAGGGTGGAGGGGCATTCAATCAGCCGAGGCTGCCAATACCTAATCAAGACGAATGGCTTCGAGGGATGAGATGGGGGCGGGGGAGGGGGGAAGCATTGCGTTAGTTAGCTAGCGGAATGGGAAGACTGCCTCATAGGCCCTGGGCTGCCCTGAGGCCAAGGAACGCTGGGCAAAGAGGAGTCCAGATTCAGGGAAAATGCTAAGGGGATCAGAGGTCACTTCTGCCACCAACTGTCAACAACGAGGGCCTTTCAGCTGATGCTTGCCCCAGCCGGCCGAGGACCCTGGCCTCCGGAGAGCTTGCTCTGGGCCAGCTCCGTCCCAGGACTCAGGATGAACGAGGCACGCCCCTGCCTTTTAGGGAATCACAGCACTGCTGGAGAGACCACAGACACATAAATTATTCTGATGCCATCCCAAGTGTCATAGCAGGGGCCCCAAGGGGCTTTGGGACAATGAGGGTGGCAGAGATTAATTTCTCCGCGCTGCCTTGGTCCAGACCCTGATCAATTTACTGCTTACTGCCTCTTTTACCTCCTCTTCCGACCGCTTGATGCTCTCTGGAAGCCCCTGCAAGGCGGCTGCCAGGCCAGTCCGTCACTCACAATTAATTGAGCAGGTGTTAGGTGACAGCACGGGGCTGGGCTCCGAGGCACCATGGTGAGTTAGACCTGGCCCCCTCCTCAGGCATCCTGGAGTCGCAAAGGAGAGACACAGACTGGCCTTCCTCATGTCACTCACGGAACGTGTCTGGTGAAGCACTCATGGGATCTGGCAGCGCTGGGTTCAAGTCCCGCCTGTGCCCCTCGCCCACCAGATGCGCTCAGCCAAG